GTCTCCCTCGGCTTGCGCACCGCACAGGCGCTCAATATACTCGAGCTACGCACAGCTCAAATCATTCAGGAATTGACGACGGGCGAGGGGGGACAAGGCATGAATGGTGTTGGCGAGCACGAGCAGCAGCAAGGCGTGGAGAATGGTGACGGAGCGATGGGCATGAATGGAGGAGGAGGGTACGGAGCAATGTCGAATGGCAACCATGGCGGCAACGCGTATGTTGGACAGAACGGGGCGCCGGCGGGACATGCTTATGCTGCGGGCGCGGGAGCTGGAATGAACGGAGGAGGAGGAGGAGACAGCGCGGCTGGCGGAGAGTACGCTTATTAGGCTTCTCCCTCCCCGTCCTTGCTCCTCCCCCCTTCCCTCCCTCGCATCCCCACTCGACGATCACGAAGGATGCTAGCGCCGCGTTTGCCGAAATTTCTTCACTCTCACAAACATGTACACTTCGAAGTCGTGAGTGATTTGCGCATTGAGCTGCAGTCATGCGTCGTGAGCGAGCGTGTTGGGCTGCCCTTTCGAGGAGAGGTGGGTGCTGGGTGCGCGCGCGCGAAGCTGCTCGTAGCTGTTTACTACTAGATTAGCGAATGTGGAGGAGAGGAGAGGAGAGGGGGGACCCAAAACCGATTTGCATTCCAGGGGAGATGTGTTTTAAGTCGGCGCGCGTTTCGTTTCATAGAAGCCGTGCGTCGGTCGTACGCCTGGAATCGCCCTTTGCCGAAAGGATACGGAGAGCAAGCAAGGCGTCCCGCTGCCGCGCTTCTTTCGATCGGTAAGGCGACTTCGCGAATACGTTGTGTGCTTTCGCAAAGGCCTGCCGCCGCACTTCCCACGCCCGCTCGATGCGGTCCGCAAGTTTCAAAAAGACAGGGGAGGGGAGGGGAGTGGGAGTGGGGAAAAGGAGGAGACGAGAGGAGAGGAGAGGAGGGAGAAGGAGTGGCTCTTTGGAGTGGAACATCCTCTCGTATGCCGCGCGCATACGCATCCTCCTTCACACACATCCCATTGCGATTGGCGCCTTTGCAAAGTTGCAAATGCAAATGGCCATGTTGGCTGCTGCTCGAGGAGGAGGAGGAGGAGGAGGAGGAGGAAGGTAGCTGCGAGGCTGGCTGCCTTTGCCTGGTGCTTCGCTCCCCTTTGCAAGCTTTGCGCTTCGTCCTTCATCAGGCACGACGCGTGACGCCCCGACATGAGAAAAAGAAAAGTTGTATTTTCGACGCTCTCGCTCCGACTTGATAGCCGCCGGTCAAAAGGAAAAAAAAAAA